ACGATGTAACTACAGAAGAGTCAAGTTTTAAATAGGAAAAATATCGAAACTCTTTGGTCATTTTTGAGCGAGATGCTAACGGTCTAATCAGATTCAATGATCTATGCTAAGCTAAGCTAAAAGTGCTACCGCCAGACCCGGAGATCGGCTGAATGGATTCGAAAACTGTAAAACTTAACTGTTTAACTCTAGGGGAGTTGGAAAATTAGCATATTTTCAAAAATAGTGGAGTGTTCCTTTAAGGTGGTTTCACATTGGTTTGGTTTGCATTAAAACTGAACTATTTTTTTCCTTCTTTAATAATTTATTAATTTTTTTTTAAATTATCTTTCAAAATGTAGAGTTTATAGATACACTTTAGAGTGTATCTATACTATGCATGATTATATAGTCACATTTTATTATCTCCATTTTGGAGTCCGCGACCCTCCAGTTCAGAGAATCTCTCATGCGTGAATTTTACAATTTGTTAAAATGTCTATAACTTACAATTAAAATTCATCATTTTGTGATGATTCTGAACACTAAACGATTTCCAAAGTCAAACTGAAACAACTTCAAACTAGGCCCAAATCTGCAAGCACTTAATTTCCAGTTTAACTCACATTCGTAACATTCCATGAAGTGTGCGGTGTCTGAACGCTGGTTAGGTTGATCTGATGAGCGAATGTGTTGCCGTGCGCTGGTCAGGACAGATGTTTGGACAGTGTGACCGTCTCTCATGCTACGTGAAAGATCTCTCAGGGATTCCTGTTATGCTTGGCAGATGGCGAGATGCACACTACAGAGACGCAGAGACAGAACTGTCCTTTTACAAACTCATAACAAGGATAAACAGAGAACAACCAGGGGACTGTCTGCAAAGTCATTCCGAATGCATTCCAAGAAATCCGTCTCGTAGCCAGAGGCTCGCTGCTCAATTTGGAACAGGGAAACTAGCCTGAAGTGTCTTCCATTTATTTTCGTTCCAGGATTTGCTGGATGTTCTCGGTTGAGTTAAGCAGGCATCTCTCAATCATACACACTGGATCGAGTGTGTGTGTGTGTGTAACCTCCCCCGCAGTGGCAGGAGCACTAGAGTGGATGCTTCAGACCTGGAAGGCACTTTTCAGCCTGGCCACACACACTGAGGCCCTGCTGCTTGGCTGCGCACCATGGGTCACCGGCTTACATTAGAAAAACCCAAGCGAACACAGTCAAGCGTGCTGCTTGAACATACCTGACAAAACCCAGCGCTGCACTGAGCATTAAAACAGATCGATGCACTGTGCTCAAACAAGACGTTTAAATAAAATGCATAAAATCATTTTAGCCTTGCATTTCAGGAACACTTTGCTACTGCTTAATTATGAAACGTTTGTACATTTTAAATATACTAGTAAATAATACGTACTACATATTTTTTTAAAATAATATATTTTTGTTTTCTTGACCAATGCTATAATATATAAGCTAATTAAAGATAGACTTCCAAAAATATCCAATTAACCTTATTTAATTATCAGCCTTTTAGGAATTATAGATGGATTCAAACACTTCTGCGTTGGTCGTGTCTAAAAGTGTTTTGGATTTCGAATGTATGCTGTCATTTTATTGTGTTCCTCAGTCATTCGGTGTTTTAAGAGGCAATTCCGCAGAGTTGTACGGTTGTTAACTTTATTTGTTTTGAAATCATGCAGGAATCATAATAGCTCATGAAAAGTGTTTATTCTGTTTGACATCCGTGGAGATGTTGGTTCTTTGGCAAAAGTGCACAGGAGCGATGTTTGGATCAGTGTATGTTTAGCACAGTGGAGGACTGTAAAGCTAGTTTGCTGAGAGTTATTGCTGAAAAGAAATCTTTCTGCACAACTTACAGATCAACTTTTACTAAAATTATAATTGCTTGGCTTCAATTTTTACTTTTTGTGTTCGTGTTTGCAAATGCTTTGTAAAATTAAAGCATTTCATTTTCTATGTTAGGTTGTTTCTTTAAAAATTTCAGCAATTGCATACTATTTATTCTATTATAAATTCTATGATAGTAATTATAGTAAATGGAGCTGATATATATATATAGTCAGCTCAGTTACTCTTAAGCATTATTTACTCAGTCACCAAATGAATCTCATTTCTTTTATTTAGCATTTTGTCATTATTTCTGTTAAAAACAAAAACTTTTCATTTCAAGGCGCGCAGTGCGTCAGACAATTTTAAAACGCATGCTCAAATGAGATTTGCTGAATTAGGTGGTTATAATGTATAAATTGTTTGTTTTATCAAACAAATGAAAAAGTTTAAGATTATAAATGTTGTCATGTGCTTAGTTTCTCCATGTCAAGCTTATGAACCTCAAAAGTGTGAATATGTAACTTTTTAAACACAATAAATAATTTATCTATTTGTTTGCAGTAAAAAAATTCCAAAGTTTGTTTAACACTATTAACGCAACAATATAACATTGAAAGTGACAAAAGATCTGATTGGGTTTGATAAAGTAGAAAGTATCTGCCATTTTCGTAAAGCTCAAGACCACATCCAGTCCTGTCAGTGAGTCAATAGTGTGTTTTTACAGTTCCTCCCAGTGTGCCAATTGATACCTGCAGGGGAGGACGCGGCCCTGGGTCACGACCCGACCTTTTGACCCTGCGGTGTTTTTACTGGGATATAAGGGAACGGCGGACGCAGAGGGAAATCTAAACAGCCGTGCAGAAAGAGGGATGGTCACTTTATTTTAGTCCAAACATCTGAGACACCGCCATGGCGCTCTTCTCTGCTCGCTTTCATTCCACTCATATTTTCTTTCTTGTCTGAGGAATGTGTCTGTGCGAAGACTCTGTGTGAGTGTGTGTGTGTGTGTGTTTGCTTATAAGTGGATTTTATAGTCTTTGTGCATGTTCACACTGTCATCTTTGTATGGTATGTATTGTAGTTCACAAACATTGTTCAGAATCACTGTTAAATGATGAACACAAACCGCATGTTTTATTTTAATGCAGAAGCAAATTTTTTACGAGGATTACTCATATTATATGCGAGTAATAAACGG